CAGTAGTCATGCTAGTGGAACTGTTAGAAATTCACTAGCATGAAGCATGGAGCACACCTGTTAAAGTGTTTCACAATTCATTTTTGGGGGTGTGTTTTGTGGGTTGGTCAAAAAAGAGGTCACTCCAAGATGAAAATTTAAGGCACATACAACAGCAGGAAGGTCCGGCCTCTGATGAACCAAAACATGAGCCGCTGTAGTACAAAGGCAAATTTACTGATTCTTACACATAGTTACACATAGTTTCTTGTGTAAACTATTTCCTTATACCAAGGTCCCCAATCTAATCTATATGTCTCTCCAAGGAAAGCATCACGTGGCCCCATGACTTTTGTCCTTTATTGTTTGCAATATGCAGTAACCCAAGAGCCTTAAATGTGCCAGAGGCATCCTATGACCAAAGTCATTCAAAGGCTGCAAACCTCTTAGATAAGCAATTCTACAAATCCTGGAAAACCATCACTGCTTTCCACAAAGATTCTTTACTGTTTTCCACAATGATTCCTCGAGTTCAAGATACTTCTAGAAAACAAATATTCAGTCTAACGTTTATGCCAGATGCAGTGGAAAGTGTTCCTTTTAACATTTACTCCAGGTCCAGCGAAAGTATTCACCCTACTGTCCACCCCAGCTACAGTGACTCTGCTGAACTACGACTTTTAATGTTTTTCCCTTTAAACGAGACTCAGAATCTAGGTGTTGTAAACTTTCTATACTTGTGATCCTGTGAGAAAACATTTAAGGAACCGATTGCAGCCACTTACTTCCATATCTCTTGTCTTATAAACAGTGTACTGGAAGGGACGTGTGAATTCCCAGTGGAAGAACACTTAATATTGTTCCCTTTTCCTCCAAACAGGTCTTGTTGTCAGTAAGCCACACCTGGTGACATTTCTGGAGCAAACACAAGGACCATGGGATGTAAAGATACAAGCAACAGACACTGTGCACCCAGGTGGGTAGGAATGAGGGGGGGGGGTCAATGGGCAGAAAGGCAGGCTTTCCCATGTGCATTGGAAGAAGGCTTTGTGGCATTAATTCTTTAGGTCTCTCCTTTGTGTCTTTGTTATTGTCAGGAGCGGTCTTTGTGAGGCTGCAATCGGAGCCAGCCGAGCTGCCCCAAGTCCATACCTGAGTGGGGGAGTATGGATGAAGGAAAGGCTAGCTATAGACAATAAAGACAGAATAAACGTCAGGACAGCAGATCAGTCAAAACTGAAATGCCACGAGTTTATTTCTCACCACTCTTATATACCATAACCAAAAAGGGGAACACAGTACCATGTATATGGAACAAACAGACTTTTCTTCCTCACTTATTCTAAGGGTTCAGTAACCACACCTTAGCTTCAACTTCTTGTTCCCTAGCCTTGAGGTCAGGAATAGCCATAACTCAGATTCAACTTCTCATTCCCTGGCCTTGAGGTCAGGAGTAGCCACACCTCAGATTCAACTCTGTTGTTATTTAGACTAAGACAGCCAAAGCATCCTTCTGTAGCCACACCTTTGACCTTTAAGTCTTGTGACTTGCTGACAGCTTTGAACTATCTGCCCTTGTGCCAAGATGGAGTGCAGCCATCTTTATGGGCACCCACATGTTACCAAAGACATGTTGATTTTCCACACTTCCTCCAAGTATGTATATGTCGACTGGCTTCCAGATTGGTAATGGGAGCAGGGCTAAGGGTCTGGTCCCAGACGTCTCTGGAAGGTGACTAGAATGACCGCCCTGGGTGAACTTTCACAGTCCACCTCACCTCCTCCTCAGGCCGTATGGCTGTCTTTACTGATGTGATGTCCACACATGGCACTTGTGACTTAGTTGCAGTAGTGCCCAGAGTTGAGCCTGCTGTGCCCACTGGCCCTGTGGTTGAGCCTCTGTCATGTCTTATCTACCACTTTGCTGAGGACTCCATACACAATCAGGCATTGACACCTCAGCCCTGGGATTGGCTCTGTTAAGAGGAGGAAATTCAAAGCCAGGGGACAGGGCATTGCCGTTTGAACTAGAGTGTAGTTCCCATACCAGTTGGGTGGCAGGCATAGGTACAAGGTTCCCCTATCAGTTCAGGGAACATGGATTGCTGACAAGTTGCAGTGAGTGTCTCCATTACTTGACACATTTAGAGTGTGGTGAAGAGTCTAAGGTCCTCCTCGGTGTGAGGGAGTCCACCCCCTGTCTGGTGGGACATGAGGAGTGATTCATCTTCCCTACAGATAAGGACTAGAGTTTCCTGCTCTGGTTTCCAGACCAGAGGGAGACAGGAGCCGTAGACACTTGACACTCCTATTCCCTATACATCCTTATCCTGTGTTGACACTAAAATGCCATTAATTCAATAGGTCTCTGTCCAGTCTAAGGGTGTGTCCTGCCATGCAAGTGTAGTGTGGATTTTAACCCTTTTTATTCAAGCAATTTATTTCAATAAACAGATTTTTTTTTTTGTAAGTATACCTGGTTTTGAATATTATTCCATATTTAGGAAACTTCAAGATGACCTTAAATATTCTTTGAGTTGTCTGCTTTGTTTGACAACATGTACAGAGGACTAATTTTGTCTCTGTACATATATTAGTCTCAGTAGGTGACTCTCAATAACTGTTGTATTAAGTGTACTTGCTCTCACATCTTACAATGAAATCGTGACTCATCAGATTAGTATTTAAATGGAAATAATTGATCTCTGTTAAAAATGTCAGCCTCAGAAATGACAATTGTTGAACTGAAGCTGTGTTATACTAAAATAAACTTTAAACATAAATACAGTCCTTGGGGAACTGGGGACTTGATTCTCCTCAGACATTTATACTGGCTGTACCTTTATGAAATCTAAATAGTCCTACTGACCTTCAAGAATACAGTCAGAGGAGAGAATAATGACGCTGACCTTTTTAAGGAACATCTACAAGAATAAAAAGATGTATAATTAATTATTCTTGTTGTGACTCAGTTTCTCCAAATGGCTACAGTTTAACAAAGTTATCAAAGACATTAAGTGACTAGATAGAATTCTCTTAAGTCAGTGTTTTTTATAACATGAACAAGACTTTACAACCTTAGGGACATTAGTAAATTTTGATAATTAAGTATATTATCTTTAAGTCTGCTCTTCCATAATGCCTGTATTACATAGACAGACCTAATGTGACTTGGCTTCAAGCTTTAGAGGCTTTGTCCTTCCTTTAATTAATGTATCTTAAATAATTTAACCTATTTATTAGAGATATACCATTAACTCTATCTTTGGTATCTTTTTAAGTCATTTCACTGATCCATACAAAGAAAAGTAACATGTCACCAAGAGTTTTAGAGACATCAGTAGACTTGGACAAGAACAGCTTTTATAATCACCAAGAGAGGATGTACAGAACAGAACAGAATTTCAATTAGAAAATGACTGCAGAATCAATGAGACACCTCTCCCTTTGGCCCGGGCATCTGATGCTTTACATATACCCCATTGATTAAGCAATTCCAAATGTGATATTCTATGTTTAACAAGTACATTTACCATTTGATTTAGGACAATATCCCAAAGTAGAGGCTGTTAGACAATATCTATTTTCATGTAGCCAGTACATCTAATAGCTTTATGTGTAACAGTACATATAGCAGTACATATTACAGCATTGCAGATACATCCCGCAGCCCAGTTTTAGTTTTTCTGGCCTGCTCACCCAAGTGTCTCTGGAGAACCTTGAAACCTCATGCAATTGAGTCCCAGTTCCATGCAGCTAGCTGGGAGGCTGAGTGGATCCTCAGGTGAGGGTTCAGGGACCTTGCCTGTATCCTCTGTTTTTGAAGGAATGTTAACATTTAACAAGCTAGAGTTATGATGATAGTAGGTTGTTCAGCTTAGTTGTACAACATCAGTCAAATAAAAAAAAGAGTGAAAACAAACTACACAGTGAGGGTAATGTGATGCATTAATATTACCTGGGCAATACTGTTAAACAATTATGCCTTGAAAGTTTCCAGGTCATCCTTATAGTGAACATAAGACAGACTTTATGACTTAGATAGTATGCAGACTTACCGTGATCATCATTAAAGTGATGCTGACAGCATCTAACAGAACCTGGCTGACTGTGATTTTGGAGTTATTATTGATTGCTTTTAGACAGATTGTCGCTTTTATCCTCTTTAATAACAAATACCCCATTGGTTGTTTTTATTCTGCACTTCTTCCTACCATGACATCATTAATAGCAGCCTCTCTTGGAAACAGTTCACCTCTTAGATGTTCTCAAGTGCACGGCGTCTTTTTCCCAAGCAGTCCTACTGTTCTCCCTCTGTCTGTCACAGAGTTGGAGCCAGCCTGACCCAGGATAAGGTTTGAGAAATGTGCTTGGGTTTGAAGTGGGTGGGGAAATACCCTTTTTCCAGAGCCAGCTTTTCAGTGAGCTGAAACAGACAGGATGATTTATGAAAACATTGTCTATATTCAAATGGCATTTGTGTCTCAATAAGACAGAACACAGTAATCTAAATATCCATAACTATAGTGTGTATCTTCAGATGTGAGCAGACAACCTGAATAGTTCTGTGTTTTGCCTCTTATAAAGATTTCAGTGTTTGGGATAATACACTGATTCTTATGAAACAGGGACGTACTAACTTCTTTGTGGATCAACCTCTAAGCTTAAAATAGATAGGTACCTGCAGCCTAGAGACATTTAAACCTATAAGCCATAAAACTAGACATTGAAGTGACTCAGAAAGTTCTAGAAGTGAAAGCAAGTGTATCCGGGCTTGTTGGAGCAGAGAGGAAGGCTGAGCTCAGCCACAGGGCAAAGAGTCCCAAGAATAGACAGAATTAATGTCTTATCTCAGAGGAAGCAGGCTTGTGGACCCAGTAGAAAAGACCCATCTTGGCTGTTATTTCTGTCTTTATGCACAAGCAGTGTAGGTGAGGAATTCTTTCACAGAAAGGCTGACTGCAACATCTTGTCCTCATCCTGAGCTAGAGTCCTAGAAGCTATCTAAGCTCCTTGGATATATGGGTACGCCTCTCCTGCCCACTCTGCATGTACTGGCATGGTGGCTACCAAGTAACCTGTGTTCTGAAAAAGAGAAGGTACTGTCCCTATGTGGACCTTACTGCACATGGATAGACCAGTGAGCTTAGTCCCCACCAGCCAGAGTATTCTTTGAGGGAATGTGACTAGGAGTTGACTAGGCTTGGTTTTTTGACAAGACCTTAATGGGGATCTCAGTGTCCAGGATGAACAGCTTAAAAAGGAATAGACATGGAGTTTCCCAGACCTGCTAACGCAGCCTCTGAATGGATGTTGGCACCACTCATGGAACACAGATGGGGACAACAGAACCCCTCAGCTTCCAGGAGCCTTGAATCGAACTGAGCTCAGACAGTGACTGACTCTCTGCTCCACAAGGGGGGGGGGGGGGTCAGGGAAAGCAACAGAAAGTAAGGAACAAAACCAAAGCTGAGACAGCATAAAGTATATAGTCAGTATAAGATTACAAAATATCTGTGAGCTTTGCTCTGTGAATTTCTACTTCATGTGTAAACACAAGTCTCCTGTTTGCACGCCTTGTTCATTGTCTCTCTAGTTAGGGCCCAATAACTATATACTCTTGTAAATAAATAAATCTTAGAAATACACAATATTATTGCCTAGGCATGGTGACATACTGCACTGATCCCAGTACTTGGGAGGCAGAGGAAAGTGGATCTCTGATGTTGAGGCCAACCTGGTCTATATAATGAGTTCCAGAATAGCAAGATCAACACAGAGAAACCCTTTGTAAAAAAAAAAAAAAAAAAAAAAAAAAAATATGAAATAACTCATTTTTTCATCTATTCATTGACAAATACATTGTCTCAGCACAATTAGTGTAATTCACAGGTGAACCTGAAGGTTTTTTGTTTTGTTTTTTACTGTGACTTAATATGTTTCAAGTATATATTTTCTTGTCATCCAAATAAAACACTGCCCTGAGTTTTTGAACTGTATTATTTAATCTTGTTGTGGACCATCTACTTCTTGTGCAGCAAGCATATTCTTTGTAACTTCCAAAATAAAACTATGTGGAGGATAAAAATTTTGTATTTTGATGATGATTCAGAACCATACAATCACCATTAAGTTTTTCTTTTCCAGGCCTGGCTACTTTATTTCATGGTGTCTAGATATCTAATATCTGTACAGTTTAATGAGCTTATTTCTGTTAGTAAAATGCTCTTACAACTTACTTAGCTTTTAAACTTTGAATAATATTTCATTATGTCTATGTTCTATTTGGTTGTGCCCTTATTCTAGTAGGAGTATAGATTATTCCTCGCTACAGTAGTTTATCATCCATGCTCAGTACCTATTGAAAATTATTGTAGTTTCTTATCGATGGTTCAATATGCATAAGTAAATCTCTCAATATAAAAGTAAGCATTTAAAAAAATATAAGCAGTATAATAATAAAGAATATTTCTTAGCTTTTGTTCATATTTCAACTTTTGCTCAACAGGAACAACCGATGATTATAACATTTACAACAAGACCATCGATTATAACTCAGAACATATTCCATACCAGAGAATTTATACAAGGGAGAAACCCTACAAGTGCAAAGAATGTGGTAAGGCCCTTAGTTCTTATAAAACGCTTTCTATACACCAGAGACTTCATACTGGAGAGAAACCCTACCAGTGTAAAGAATGTCATAAGGCCTTCAATACACGCTCATCACTTTTTATACACCAGAAAAACCATACTAATGAAAAAACATACAAGTGTGAAGAATGTGATAAATCATTTTACTATCTTCCAATGCTGAAGCAACATCAAAGAATTCATTCTGGAGAGAAACCCTTCAAATGTGGAGAATGTGGCAAAGGTTTTTATTTCCCTTCATACCTTAAGCAACATCAAAGGATCCATTCAGGAAACAACCCCTACAAGTGTGAAGACTGTGGAAAAAGCTTTTCTTGTTCTCTACGCCTTCAGGTACATCAAATAATTCATACTGAAGAGAAATCATATAAGTGTGAAGAGTGTCACAAAGCCTTTCGTTATCACTCATCCTTTTGGAGACACATGAAAATTCATATTGCAGAAAAGTCGTACCAGTGTGAAGTGAGTGGGAAAGAATTTACTAAGCCTGCTTCTCTCATTGGGAACAAGGCAGCTAACCCTGCAAAGAAAGCCTACAAGTGTGAGGAGTGTGGCAAGTGTTTTTGCTCGTCTTCATCCCTTAGACGACATCAAACAATCCATTCTGAAGACAATCCCTATAAGTGTACGGAGTGTGGCAAAAGGTTTTCCTACTTTTCACACCTTCAAGAGCATCAGACAGTCCATACTGGAGAGAAACCATACAAGTGTGAGGAGTGTGGCAAATGTTTTTCCTCCTCTTCATCCCTTAGACGACATCAGTCAATGCATTCGGAGGACAGCCCCTATAAGTGTGGGGAGTGTGGCAAATGGTTTTCCTGTTCTAGGAGTCTTCGGGAACACCAAGCAATTCATACTGGTGAGAAACTATACAAGTGTGAAGAATGTCACAAAGGCTTCCGTAAATATTCGACCTTTTGGAAACACAGGAGAGTTCATACTGCAGAGAGATCCTATGAGTGCAAAAAGTGTGGGAAATGTTTTTTCTCATCTTCAACCCTTAGACGACATCAGACAAGTCACTCTGAAGACTATCCCTACAAGTGTGAGGAGTGCGGCAGATGTTTTTGCTCATACTTTTTCTTTAAACGTCATCAAATAATCCATTCTGAAGACAGCCCCTATAAGTGTATAGAATGTGGCAAACGGTTTTCCTGTTCTAGGAGTCTTCGGGGACATCAAGCAATTCATACTGGCGAAAAACCATACAAGTGTGAAGAATGTAATGAAGCCTTTCGTAATAGCTCATCCCTTTGGAGACACAAGAGAGTTCATACTTCAGAGAAATCCTAATAGTGTGAAGTGTGTGCAAATATTTTTCTTCATCTTTGTGCCTTAGACAATATAAACACTCCACGCTTAAGACAATTCCTCCATGTGTGCAGAGTGTGGAAAAGTTCTCCTACTTTGCATAACTTCAGGAACCTCAGACAGTCCATACTGTAGAAAAACCATCAAGTGTGAAGAGTTGGCAAACATTTGTGCTCATCTTCATCTCTTAGGCAAGGAGAGAGACACACAGAAAAAGAGACAGAATTCATTCTGAACACAGTCCCTAAAAGGGTGGGGAATGTGGTAAAGACTGTTAATTTTTATAGCCTTACTAGATGCATGATTGTTCATATTGGAGAGAAATACCACAAATGTCTTAAAAAGTTTACACTTCAGCCCTTAAAACACATCAGATGTATCATTCTGAATACAAACTTCATTGAGTGCTGAGGGGAGAGGAGAGTAATGAGGAGATAGATGCCAGCTAGCTGATAAGAAATTAGGATATGTAGAAAATGAGACAACAAGCCATGAGCCTCGTGACAAAGCACAGATAAGTAATATGGGTTAATTTAAATGTAAGAGTACTGGGAAACTAACTCCTAATTCCCAACAGGTCTGATGCCCTGGGAAAGAAGTCAGCACAATGATGAAATTGTGATCACCTGTTTCAAGCAAGTAGCCCTTGATAGCCTGAACCATTTTTATTTATACACTTTCAGTAGTTTGCATGAACAATTTTACAGTCATGTTTCCTTAAGTTTCTAGTTATAAGTACAATAATTGCCAATTGGTTCCCATACTTTATTCCCTTTTTGTCCCTCAACTTTCCCATGGTAATCATTACCTATTTGATTTGTAGCTTTAATATTAGAAACATAAGCAGTATAGCAAGCTACAAAGGAAGTTTTCTAACTAGGCACACCTACAGGTCGCACAGTATGTCTAGCTGGCAGCACTTATCATTAAAGCGTCAGGCAAAGTGACAGAATTTTGCCTCTAAACTACATAACTAAAAAGGTTACTCTTAATATTTGGCACTGCTTATCCCTTATTTCATGTCCTGCTCTCACCTTCCTACACTATTGGCACAGCTGTTAAAATGAGGGCATTGTGGACTTGTATGATTCTCTTCATTCTCTGTTCCTATTTTGATTTTTAATTGAAACTTGAAGGACTATGAGAAGGGCAAGTCTTTTTTTTTAATCACAAAAAAGACTAAATTTATAATAAACCAAGAGCAACAACCAAATTAATGATAAATGTCCAAAAGTTTTTATAATTACAAAAGAAGTAACTGAATTAAAAAATGAGAGAGATTTTTATCTTCTCGGCAGAGAACATCTAAAGATGTGCATGAGAAAAGGTAGTTCATGGAGAGAATGAATATTCATATCTATATTAGAACTGTTCCCTATAATATGACCCTGAATTTGTCCCCATGAATAATCAGAGCCACTGTAAGACAATGTTGTAACACAAATTCATTTATAAGTTGTGTAACAAACAGCAGTAAGTCTAACTTTAATATTTGAGTCTGTGTACCCATGTATGAAACCTCTTCCTCCAATGCATTAATCCTATTAACAAGGCCCTTATCAACAGGTTCTTGAGTAAAGTATCAGAAACATTCTTAGACAATGTTTTTATGTTGTTCAAGGGCCGCAGTAGAGGCAGCTATAGTGCCAATGATAGAAATAAAGGCAGTAATACCCAGTATCAGAGCTATAATAAAGCATTTAGCGGATTAGCAGTAATACCTAGATCATCAAACCATGATCAAGATAGGTTAACAGGAAGAAGAATACAAGGAGGTTGATGGACAAACTACAAAGGAACCTGGGGATAAAGTTAAATGGTAACTGAATGTGAAATTTTTGAAACTGAAAGTGAAGCCATGAAAACTCTCACCAAGGATTGCAAATGGTGGAGTAATACAGGCTTGTGAGCCAGAGTAAACGGGAACCTTCTGAAGGTCTTTGAACAGAGTGAAATTAGTAGCTGCAAAGAGCTTATAAAAATGTCTTTGAAGAAAGAAGTAGAACATCCTGGGGAAAACCAATGATCCACAGAAACTGATTTTAAAATGAGATCATCAGAATGGGAAATAAAATAATCTCTATAAAAGAGAAGATTGTTCAGTCTACTTTTGAACAACCGCTAGTCTCAAATATTTTACATTGGTATGGATTTTTGTATATCGAAACAAATTTCAGGTTATTTTTGTTATATTGTATATATGTTTCTATTCTTGATTAAGATTTTGTACCCATGCAGCTCATTTGAAATGTAAAGTTTTAGTCCCTGAACGCTATTTAAGATAATAAAGAAACGCAGTTTAATAATCATCTACAATAATCAAACTTATAGTCATGTTAGGTATTTTTTTCAAGAATATACAAAGATTTATTTTAGCTAGATCCATGATCTTCAAACACATCAAGACCTACAAAATATAGCATTTAAAATGTTTTAATAACATAAGGCTTTTCATAACAATGAGACATATCTGCTCCTGATAGTATCAATTTACTTTAATGGACACCAAAGAACCTACATATGGAGATTGCTTTGTTTGTGGCAAAGCTAGCCAGAAAAGTGTTTGCTGAAATATACCAAGACAATGTAGGATAGTCCTTCAAAATTCCTGCTTCACAGAAAATTCTGTCAGATATTCTAGGCCTGTAGGTGAAGATGGATGTCCCAATGTTAGTTTCCTTTGTTACCAAATTCAAAACAGAAGCTTACATGAGAGATGTAATGTTTATAAGCTCGAGAGACATAAACAACTTAAGATGTTTTGAGGTCTAAACATATTTTTAGGATGGTAATACTAGTTATGGCAAAAAGGGTTAGGGATAATGCTTTGGATTAAGATAGGATAGATAATGTAGTACTATCTCTAAATTTGCCAAATGCAAATTGGACATTGTAAATGTAATTCTTGCCTGATAATTGTTCTTACTGTATACAGTTTATTGCATTAGAGCTAAAAACTTTCTATTTGTTACATTGAGATCGGTTATTAAAGAGCCAAACAGTCAGTAACTAGGCAGGAGGTGTAGGCAGAACTTTCTGGTCAGAGAGCTCTGGGAAGGAGAAAGGTGGAGTCAGAAGCCAGATGAGGAATAACCAGGATGGGCCTAAGGGAGATGAGGTCATGAGCATAGGGAAGAACATAGATTTAAAAATATGGCTTAATTTAAGTTATAAGCTAGTTAGAAACAAGCCTAATCTAAGGCTCAAGCTTCATAATTAATAGTAAGTCTCCATGTCATGAAAGATAAAGAAAGTCCATGTACAGGAAGCAGGCTTGGAAACCTATTAAAAAGAGCTGGCATTAGGAACAACTATAGCTTCTCCAACTGGAGAGCTACTAGCTCGGGACCCTCCAGCATAGTAAAAGTGACCCCACACCACAAGGCCACTGTGAGTCGGGGCCTGGCCTCCCTGGCTGGTTAGGCTACTGGATGATTAAGTTTTCAAAAGGATGAAGACATGCAGAATGGATGCTCCCCTACTGCTAACATGGCAGCTCCTGGTCAAGAGCCCTCTGCAGCTACCACAGGTGGTCCTTTCTGGCCTCCCTCACTCAGGATGTGAGCACAACCAAGAAGCCCAGTTTTCAGTCTGGTTATCTTGCATTGGGTTGCTTTAAGGTAAGTGGAGACTTAATAAAGGTTCATCAAAGTCATGTGACCTCATGAGTAGAAGTGTCTGAGACAAGTAATAGCATACTGGGAATTTTTCAGCAATAGGAGCTGTTATCAGGACGACATGATGGATAGTGAGTTTCAAGAGAGTGTCAAGTGTGCTAAAACTGAAAGGCCACTGGGCCTTGGGCTGAACAAATATTTTGTAAGTTTGGGGCATTTAGGTTCCATCTGAACCTGAGAGATTATAGTAAGAGAAGAGGCAGCACATTCTGGATGAGCTTGGCAATTGAGAGACATCTAGTGCCACTCTGTGTACACTGGAGTTAGAACATGTTAAGCCACTCTGTGTACACTGGAGTTAGAACATGTTAACACCTGGACTTCCCCCACACCCACTAAGTTACCTTACACACCGAAGAGGCACAATTGTCATGTGACCCAGTTGTGTGACTAAATTTTTGTTAGGCTGGTCTCTTATGTTTGGCTAAGGAAATGGTTGTTTTGTCTTTAAACAAAGCAGACGCCGACATGTTACAGGGGACTACATGTCAAGTGACAGCCTCATGTATTACAGCGATCCATACACAGATACCCCAACTGAGAGGATTTCACCAAGAAATGACTGATATGGCAGAAAGTGGGAGACAGTGTGGAGCCTACAGAACAATGTATTTCTAAGTAATAGGAGAAGCAATGTAGAGAGTGCACAGAGAAATTAACACTGCAAACGAGATGACCAGAGTGAAGGGGCTGATATGGAAAATTGCTTGTCCTATAGACATGAAGACATGGTTGATAGACAGCAGGATCCATATGAATATGGGATAAGGAAACATAAATGGAATCAGGATGAGAGGGACCTGAGTCATTAAAGTACTGCCTCCTGTGGAGATTGATCTCTGGGGAATATACAGACTCCTATCCTTCAGGTACATGGAAAGACCATCCTCCCAGGCATGATAAGGAAGATAAATAAGTATACCTCTATCTCATTGACAGGACACCTATTTCTGATGAGATCACCACAATATAGATGACTTTCAAACTCAGTTACCTAGAATGCATGAAATGTTCAGTTGATGAGATCTCTAGTTACCCAGAAGACAAACGTCTGGCACTGTCTCTAAGTAGACTTCTGTGGTAGATTACTGATGCCAGAAGACCATCTCTCAACATGTGTGCCTCAGTGCTAGAGAAGCATTCATTCCTCCCTCACTCATGAAGTAGCTTGGGATTTGACCAACAACAATTTGCATTTGATGGAAACATCCCATTCTGGTGGGGGGGGGTCACCTCATTAACCTTAGGAAGTAAGCATGTGATAGGCATGGGGAATTCATATTCTCAAGACCCTCAGAGCCCTCATTGCTGATGGTTAGATAAACAGTTAAGGGGCAGAGACTACCTCTTAAGTGGAGCTCCCTGGAACTCATAAACTGAGCTGAAGCATGCAACTTTCCTGAGTCTTTACTCAAAGTCCCTCAGATATTTCATACTGTTGATGTTACTACTTTGAATCAGTATGTTCCTGTTCTAATCCCTCATCCATACTCCTGTGTGCAATCCCACTAACAAACTCACCGACCCTGGAAGATAAGGACTTCAGCTGAATCTTTGCTATGTCTATCATTAGACACCGATCCAAGGTAAATAGACATTCTGTTCTCCATTAGAAAACCACAGAGTGTCTTTTTCAATTGCTGTAAGAGAACACATTAGTCATTTGTTGCTCATGGTTTCATTGTGTAAAAGTCCTTTGATAGAGAGCATAGCATCGGATAGGCAGGCATGATCCTCAAACAGGAGCAGTGAGCTTACTTACATCTTGATCTCCAATAGGAAACAGGTAATGCATAGGATTCTGTAACATCAAAGCCCACCCACAGGGACACAGTTCAAATCCTTCCAACTGGGGCACAGCATTCCATTGTATGAGCCTACAGGTGCTGATACAGTTTTTAAAAATGTCAGGAAGGAGTCAGGCCATACAATAGGCCAAACAAACCATCACGTGTAGGGTTTCTTTATTAGGGGAAGGGAAAGACAAAGGGGGACAGACGGAAGAGAGAAAGGTGGTGGAGTTCTACCTTGCAAAGAAGGGGCAGAGCACATGTGCAGAGAGACCACAGAGCAGGCAACAGTAGGGATGCTTAAAGGACCTGGCTGCAGTGGTGACGAACCCTGCCAGGCTCCAATGCCAGGTATGCCTGAAGGCCAACAGGTGCCATATTCATTCTAAACTACTATGACTTTAAAGTTATGAACGATGTGAAATGAACTATAATTCTCAGAGATTAGCTCCAGTTTGGGGAATCCTGGCACTTTGTATGGAGTCCATGTTGATTTGCTCTAAGCCTAGAGGCCAGCCCTGCAAGTCTGTCTTGTGGAAGTACAATTTCATTTGAAAGGCGAAGGACCACGGTAATTGTATCATGCTCAAACGTACATTTTTAGGAAAGTTTCTCCAGAGTCAGCAGGCATAGAAGAAGGAAACTGTGTTATGGTGTTGGG